CTCTTAGAAAAGTTCTGCTATTAAAACTCGAAGGAAAAATGAGATCATGAATAAACTGAACATTAAAAAAATTTATCTTTCATAACTTTTCATTCAATCTAATATCTGTGTATGTATAATCATTTATTTTTTCATGTACTAATTCGTCTATGTATTTACCAATCAATAAATATAATCTGATGTGCACTATGACAAATGAGGTCAAAAAAAAAGGAGATACCCGGATGCACACAAGATATAAAGATGCAGGGCTGGGCACGGTGGCTCACGCCTGTAATTCCAGCAGGAAGGGTAGGCTGAGGCGGGCAGATCACCTGAGCTCAGGAGTTCAAGATCAGGCAGGCAAACATGGTGAAAACCCATCTCTACTAAAAATACGAAAACTTAGCTGGGTGTGGTTGCGGGTGCCTGTAATTCCAGCTACTCAGGAGGGTGAGCCTGAGGCACGAGACTCAATTGAACTCAGGTGGTAGAGGCTGCAGTGAGATCGTGCACTCCAGCCTGGATGACAGAGTGAAACTCTGTCTCAAAAAAAAAAAAAAAAAAAAAAAAAGTGCTATATTGAGGACTGAGACCTGAGATAGTGAGAGACAGCGATGTACAACTTGAGTCACACTGTGGACTGACAGGATGGGAATAGCTAAGGGACTGTCTGAGGTGGGGGTGCCTGTGTGGTTCACTTGTTGCTGCCTTGTTTATGTGACTTTGATAGTACTTAGCTTCTGCTGTTGATGCTCAGGGGGAGATACACCTAAACCACACAGACAGCATTCTTCTGAAAAGGAGAAGTTGCCAGGGAGTGCGGACCAGTAGTCTCAGCGGCCCTGTACCCTCCAAGCAGAAGTGTAGACTTCTTAGCTCTTCTTCCCTGTGACTGGCCTTCAGGTATAATTTCCAGTATATGGCTGCTTATAAATTCTATAGCTCAGGAGAATAAATAAGAGGCTCCTTTTCCAGAAAATCCAGTATTGGTCTTCCTCCTTTGGAGGCTTAGAGTCAGAACTCTCTTGTAGGCATGGTAGGACCCATGGAGGTGGCCACATCTTGCTTTCTTCAGTGAGTATTAGATCCCACAAGATGACCGCACAGCTAAACATAATTAAAACTTAGGTTTTATGATATTTGTTCCTTCCCTAAAAACTCTCAGTGACTCCTTATTATCCAGAGGGAGCATATAAGCTAAATAAACGTGAACTTTTTTCTCCAAATAAAAATTCTCCCCAGTTAATAGAAAATCTTGTTTTCCTGTGTTACATTGAACCAAAATGGTTTTTTTTTTTTTCTTTTTGAGACAGAGTCTTGCTCTGTCGCCCAGGCTGGAGTGCAGTGGCACAATCTCGTCTCGCTGCAACCTCCACCTCCCGGGTTCAAGTGATTCTCCTGCCTCAGTCTCCTGAGTAGCTGGGATTACAGGCACCTGCCACCACGCCTGGCCAATTTTTGTATTTTTAGTGGAGATGCGGTTTTGCCATGTTGGCCAGGCTGGTCTCGAACTCTGGACCTCAAGGGATCCATCCATCTGCCTCGGCCTCCTAAAGTCCTGGGATTGCAGGCATGAGCCACCGCGCTTGGCCTCCTTTAAAATTATTATCATTATTATCATTATTATTATTATTATTGAGACAAAGTTTCCCTCTGTTGCCCAGGCAGGAGTGTAGTGGCGCCACCTTGATTATAGACGTAAGTCACTGGGCCTTGGGAGTATAGACACGAGTCACTGGGCCCAGCTTTTTTTCCAGTTTTAAAGTATTATTTTTAATTATCCAAAATAAATGTGTAGTAAATACTCTTTTTATAAATCTTTGTTTTCTTGATTGCTTCCTTAGCATATAATTTCAGCTCTTCTCTCATTTCCCCATCCTCTTCCCCTTGTTCCACACCTCTGATATAAAGGACATTATTATGTCTTATTAAAACTTCATCCACATTGGGCGTGGTGGCTCACGTCTATAATCCTGGCATTTTGGGAGGCCAAGGCAGGCAGATCAGTTGAGGTCAGGAGTTTGAGACCAGCCTGGCCAACATGGTGAAATCCTGTCTCTACTAAAGACACAACAATTAGCCAGGCGTGGCGGCTGGCGCTTGTAATCCCAGCTACTCTGGAGGCCGAGGTATGAGAATCGCTTGAACCCATAGGCTGCAGTGAGCCGAGATCGCACCACTGCACTCCAGCCTGGGTGATAGAGCCAGACTGTGTCTCAAAATGAGATAAAATGAAACAAAATGAAAACTTCATCCAGATGTCTAGACAACATGTATTATGTATTCTTCTGTATTTGCAAGTTACATGTTCATATAGCCATGTACAGATACCAGTTAGCCTTTGTAATCCATTCTCCACTTAAGTTTCACCGTTTACTGGCTTTTCAGTGAATCCCTTGAGGAAAGGTTTGGAATTGAGAGGTAAATCCTTTATAAGGAGAATGCTGCAGTCTATTTGCTATTCACCGATGACTAAACTGCCCCCCGGTCCTCCTGACTGCAGCAGGAACCCCCAGACAGTCATGCAAATGGACTAGGCCTGAGTCTGTAGTTCTTTGCTCTGAAAAAAGAGACATAATGGCTTCTACTTTCTAGTTCTCGTTTTGTGGAAATAATAGAGGAGTTTCTCTAGAACGGTTTTGGATCTGCTGGTTAAAGGGACCTTGGATATTTAGGCCCTGAAATAAATGGTTGCATCTTTGAAGGCAAAGGTGAAAGTAGTTTCTTACACTTTAGTGAAGAGGCCTTTGGAAAATTTTGTTCTAGATGTTGTGTATTCTCTGTAGAGGAGTGCTGGGAATTCCCCAAATTGGTAGAACTAACGGGTAACTGAAGAGAACAGGGAGTGACATGTCAGATTGAGAATCAGTCTTTTGAAAGTGGCAAAAGACTATGTGTAAAAAGAATAGGGTAGAAGATAAAAAGAATAGGGTAGAAGATAAAAAGAATAGGGTAGAAGACATTAGATTCAATTCCTCTTTTTATTTCATTTTTTTGATTCCTTGGGAATGATTTCTTCCTAGACTGCCAGTGTTGCATAGTAACCCTGCCCATGAAGAGGACTGCAATACTGAAAAACTGCATGAAACTAAGCACTGTGGGTTGGGCAGGGTGGCTCACGCCTATAATTCCAGCACTTTGGGAGGCCAAGGTGGCTGGATTGCTTGAGCTTAGGAGCTTGAGACTAGCCTAAGTAACAAGATGAAACCCTATCTGTACAAAAGATACAAAAATTAGCTGGGTGTGGTGGCATGAAGTTGTAGTCCCAGCTACTTGGGAGGCTGAGGTGGGAGGATCACTTGAGCCTGGGAGGTGGAGACTGCAGTGAGCTGTGATTGTCCCACTGAACTTGGGCAACAGAGCAAGATCCTGTCCCAAAAACAAAAAAACTAAGCACTGGGGATTAGAAATGAATATTTATTTATTTATTTATTTATTTATTTATTTATTTATTTAGAGACAGAGTCTTGCTCTGTCTCCCAGGCTGGAGTGCAGTGGCAAGATCTCGGCTCACTTAGGCAAGGTGTTTAATCTCTGAAAAGTGGAGAATTTAGCAGCAGGCATGGTGACTGGTGCCTGTAATCCCAGCTACTTGAGAGGATGAGGTGGAAGCGTTAAAGGCAGAGAGTGTCCAGATTATTGGTGTCTTGACAAAAGAATTGGAGAAAATGCACAAACAAAGCAAGGAAGGGACAAAGGAATTTATTAAACATGAAAGTACACTCCACAGTGTGGCAGTGGGCCTGAGCTTAGAAGTTCAAGGGCTCTGTTACAGAATTTTGGGGAGTTTAAATACCCCCAGAGGATTCCATGGTTACTTCGGGTATGCCTTATGTAAATGGAGAAGACGAAGTAAAGTTACAAAGACATTTACGACCTATGCCCTATGGACAGAATATTTCCTGTTACAGCTGCAGTGTGAATCAGCCTTATGTTCCCTGCCTCCAGACCCTATTTTCCTGCCTCAGGAGGATTGCTTGAGCCTAGGAGTTCAAGTCCAGTCTGGACATCATAGTGAGACCTCTGTTTCTGAAAAAAATTTTTTGAGACAGAGTTTTTCTCTTGTTGCCCAGGCTGGAGTACAATGGCACGATCTCGGCTCACTGCAACCTCTGCCTCTTGGATTCAAGCACTTCTCCTGCCTCAGCCTCCCGAGTAGCTGGGATTACAGGAGCCAGCCACCACGCCTGGCTAATTTTTTGTATTTTTAGTACAGACGGGGTTACACCATGTTGGGCAGGCTGGTCTCGAACTCCTGACCTCAGGTGATGTGCTCACCTCAGCCTCACAAAGTCCTGGGATTACAGGCGTGAGCCACTGAGCCCAGCATTTTTTTTTTTTTTTTTTTTTTTTTTTTTAGACGTAGTCTCCTTCTATCGCCCAGGCTGGAGAGCTGTCGTGCGATCTGCAACCTCTGCCTCCTGGGTTCAAGTGATTCTCCTGACTCAGCCTCCTCCCGAGTAGCTGCGATTACAGGTGCCCACTACCATGCCCGACTAATTTTTTGTATTTTTAGTAGAGACGGGGTTTCGCCATGCTGGCCAAACTGCAAAAAAATTTTTTTAAATAAATGAAAAGCAGAGTATTTATCTGAAAAAAGTGGGAGACTAAGAGTCTCATGAGATTGTTATAAAGATTAAGAGAGTGTTACTGAAATACTTAGAAGAGCTGTCATTTTATTGCTGTCTTTTCCCCTTGTGTTTGGATAGATTACCGTACTTGTTTCTTCTACGTAACTGTAATTATTTTTAGTCAGTGGGGTTCTCCTTCTCTTAAAGGCCTGGAGAAACTTGTCTTAAATGCTTTCCCAATGCACGAATTGGGAGACGCAGATTTTATGTCTACATTACGACTTAAAAGTATGAATTGGGACTAAAGTCAGTGCTCAGGTGCAGCGATCCTCTGTTTTGTTCATCACACAGCTCCCGGCACTTTAATACATGAGGCTCAAGAAACGACGGGCTTAGGTCATGCAGTAATCAAATCCAGAACTCATGTTTGATTCCAAAGCCCACACGTTTTCCTGGTTTAGAAACACTAAACATTTAATTCACCGCACCTGGGGCCAGACAGGCACTGGAAAACGCCTGAAGTATGCTAGGAAGGGAAGACTGTGGTAAAAAGGCCAAGAAATGTTTATCTACAGTCGCAGCCGCCATTCAGATCGATTTCACTGCCTTGCAGAAACGCAGGCCGACTGTCGTCTCTTTATCCCATGGCCGATTTCTTGCGAAATCTCCTAACTTTTAAATATTTCCGATCAAAAGACTGCTGCTCAAACGGAGCCCACCGGGAGCGTGTTTGCAAATTCTGGAGTAAACAAGAGCGGGAAGCTGATAAGGTGAGTACCTCAATTCCATAGGGATAGCCAAGAAACGGGGAGTTTTGTACCAAAGGCAAAAATGAGATTCTCCGCCCGAGGGTCCCGGAAGGAGGACTGAATTAAATGCAGATTAGAGTCAGGGCACGGCCAGGTGGCGGGAGAAACAGGCTGACATCCCAGGTGGCTGGCCTATCCAGCCAGCGCGGCCGGAGGTACAGACCATGTACAGACCACGACGAGAGGGGTTAGGGGCTTCTCGGGATAAAGGCAGCGAGTGGCTGCGCATTCCCTCCCCTACTCTTTCAGCGGTAAGCCTTCTGTGGAGCAGACCCTAACTCTCCCCCGATTCCTTAGGTCACTCGGCTATTTACTTCCTTCCCCGGCTCCTCAGCGTCCTCCACAGTCCTACAACTTCCGCTTGCCTCGTTGTCTGGGAAACCGCCGACTTCCGGTCGCGCAGTGGTGGGCTGAGCCAAGATGGCTGAGGTGAGAGTTGCGACAGTGAGCGCCCAGATTCTCTTTAGTTGCCCGGCCAGGGCAAGGCAGGCTGGCGGGTGGCCTCTGTCCCATGCAGCGGTTCCTGGAGAGAGGCGGAGCTGGGTGCCGAGCGGCTGAAGGTGGGCGGGGCGACACGGTTCCCTTCCTACTGTCCCGGGAACTGGTCGCCTGGGGCAAGTCTGGATACTTAGCAGCACAGGTCCTGTTCTAGGACTGTGGTCCCTCTTGGGGTGCCCTGGACGGAGAAGGGAGACTTCTCACCTGTAATGGCTCTTACCCTAGTCCCATCTTTTTTTTCTCTGGGGGGTTTGGAAGGTAATAACTAGCACTTGTGTAGACAGTTTCTGTTAATCCCGTGAATTGGGAATTTAACATGAACGACAGCCTGGAAGCTTGCAGCGTCACTGCCTCCTGCCAGTGGAGCAGGGCTATGTTTTTTCTGTGGTGATTAAGTTTAGGAAAGTACGGTTTTGGAATTCAGCTGAAGGTTGAGTTGGGCGTTAACTCCACAGAACTGCTAATAGAGAGGAACCCGAGGAATTCAGGATGAGCTAGTCGCTGTTTTTATGAGGCATATATCCCTAATTGGATCTAATTTCGGTGAAGTGCCAAGTATGAAGATTTGTTTATCTTGCTTTAGTGTTGGGTTTGAAAGCCTGTTCTGTGCATTTGTTAGAATGATTTTAGGTATTCGGAATTTATTGTCTGTCGAAAAACGCCTTGGAAAACAGTAGGATAGCAGCCTTTGACTGTTTTACAACTTAGTTTTGGCTAAGCAGCAAGCTTAGTGTTATTGCTAGAGGGCCTTTTGTTTGTTTTCTACTCTCATTTGCAGAGTTGTCATATTATTCTAGCCTAATTAGAAAACTCTGAAGACAAACTTTTTTTTTTTTTTTTGAGACGGAGTGTCGCTGTTGTGGTCCCGGGCTGGAGTGCAATGGCGCTATCTCGGCTCACTGCAACCTCCGCCTCCCGATTAGCTGAGAATACAGGCGCCTGCCACCACGCTCGGCCGAAACATTTTTATTAAGCTAAGAAATTTAAAATAACTGGGCCGGACGCGGTGCATCACGCCTGTAATCCCAGGTACCCGGAAGGCTGAGGCAGGAGGATCACTTGAACCCCGGAGGCGGAGGTTGCAGTGAGCCGAGACCACGCCACTGCACTCTAGCCTGGGCGACAGAGACAGACTCCGTCCCCTCCCCCCCACAAAAAAAACCCAAAGATTTTAAAATAATTAAATAGACCAGGCGTGGTGGCTCACGCCTGCAATTCCAGCACCTTGGGAGGCTGAGGTGGGTGGATCGCCTGAGGTCAGGAGTTGGAGACCCGCCTGGGCAACGTAGTGAAACCCCGTCTCTACTAAAAAAATACAAAAAATTAGCTGGAAATGGTGGCAGGCGCTCGTAATCCCAGCTGGTAGGGAGGCTGAGGCAGGAGAATCGCTTGAACCCAGGAGGCAGAGGTTGCAGTGAGCCGAGATCGTGCCATTTCACTGCAGCCTGGGCAACAAGAGCGAGACTCCGTCTCAAAAAAAATAAAAAATAGCATGGTTAATGTTACTGGGTTTTAAATATTAAAAACATAGGAAAGAAAATACTTCTCCACAATCTTAAAGTGTAAAAGATAACGGGTAACATAACATTGCTACAAGTACAGCTTATCCTTTAGTGCTCATCACAGGTGTTTGTGTAACAGAATATGAACTTGAGTCTGTGAGGGCAGAATTGTCCTGTACATTTGAATGTCTAATACTGTTTTAAAGAGAATAGTTTTTGTTTTGATGTGACTTTAGCAATTAAGCCTGAAGTTAACTATTTTCATTGTTGTCAGATTTATTGCTAGTATTATGTTTATAGTAATTTTCATCTTTTCAAGTTAGCAATGCATGGAAATTTGAATTTCTGCCCTTTTTGGAAAAGTGGTCTTTTATTTATCTTTATTTTTATTTATTTATTTTTTTTGGAGATGGAGTCTCAATCTGTCGCCCTGGCTGGAGTGCAGTCGTGCGATCTCGGCTCAGTGGAACCTCCGCCTCCGGGGTTCAAGCGATTTTTCTGCCTCAGCCTCCCGAGTAGCTGGGATTACAGGCCCTCACCAGCACGCCCAGCTAATTTTTGTATTTGTGCAGAGACGGGGTTTCACCATGTTGGCCAGGCTCTTCTGGAACTCCCGACCTCGTGATCTGCCCGCCTCGGCCTCCCAAAGTGTTGGGATTCCAGGCGTGAGCCATTACCCCCGGCCTTATCTTTTAATACAATTAAAAGAACCCAGTAATCCTACTCCTAGACCTGTGTCCCATAGGAAAAAAAGTTAAACATGAGCGTGTAGTACTAGGGCATTCACTGTAGTACTGTCTGTAGTGTCAAAACGCTGGAAGCAAATTAAATGCCCATTAATAGGGTAATTGATGACTTCAGATATTTCCATACTGTGGAATATTATGCAGTCATTAAAAAGAATGTTATAACTAATTGCTTTTCCTCTCAGAAGCCCCTCTCTCTTACTAGAGAAAGCTGTTCTCTTTCCTTTCTTCTGCCTATTAAACCTCAGCTCCTAAACTCAGAAAAAAAAAATAAATAAAGAATGTTACACTCTTGACTTGGAGGAACTTCCATGGTGTACATTTCAATAAAAGGTAGTTTTGAAGTGGGATATATTATGTGATCTTAATTTCATAACAGAAAGGAAAACATATATAGATCTGTAGATAAGGATATATGGATATGGAATAGAGAAAAGGAAAAGACTCAAAACTCACAGATAATTTTTGAAAAAATGTATAGGTAAAAATCCAAGAAGGCTACAGTCAAGGACTTGAGGCCAGAAGACATCCCATCAAATCTGAGTAAAACTAGCTCAGTGTGGGACACAGAAATTCTAATATGCTACCCAAATTACTTATGGATTGCTACCAGTTCCTAGAAGGGAAAACTGAGGACTGATATTTGCATTTTCAGTGTATATAATAGTTTAGAATTGTTAAAAAATGAACAGATGGGCTGTACTTGGTGGCTTATGCCTGTAATGCTAGCACTTGGGGAAACCGAGGTGGGAGGATAGCTTGAGTCCAGAGATTGGAGACCAGCTTCAGCAACATGTTGGAGCCGCATTTCTACAAAAAACACAAAAATTATCCAGACGTGGCGGCATGTACCTGTAGTCCCAGCTGCTGGGGTGGATCATCTGAGCCCGGGGGAAGTTGAGGCTCCAGTGAGCCATGATCCTGCCTCTGTACTCCAGCAGGGACAGAATGAGACCTTGTCTGAAAAGTACAAAAACTAAAATTGAATGAGCAACTAGCTCTGGCTTTCATGATTTGTGCTTATAAATTTTTTTATAATGCCCTGATTCCCATTATATAATGTATTTGGATAAATACCTGTCATCCTGTAAATTAAAGGATTAAACTGATAAGAGCAGAAAACAGAAATTAGCACACTAGTTGATGTAGCTCAGATATAGTGCCTGTGTATCAGGTACTCCATGAATATTTGTTGGATGAATAAATGATCATAAAACTATATAAAAATGAATAAATAACAGAAAAAATAATTTGTTCTATATACATCCCATGAATGAGATTGAGTGGGTTAATAGAATCCTTTCCATCTCAGAATGTTCTGGAAAGTCTTGAGTAAAAGATTTAAAATAGGCCGGGCGCGGTGGCTCAAGCCTGTAATCCCAGCACTTTGGGAGGCCGAGGCGGGCGGATCACAAGGTCAGGAGATCGAGACCACAGTGAAACCCCGTCTCTACTAAAAATACAAAAAAATTAGCCGGGCGCGGTGGCGGGCGCCTGTAGTCCCAGCTACTCAGGAGGCTGAGGCAGGAGAATGGCGGGAACCCGGGAGGCGGAGCTTGCAGTGAGCCGAGATCGCGCCACTGCACTCCAGCCTGGGCAACAGCGTGAGACTCCGTCTCAAAAAAAAAAAAAAAAAAAAAAAAAAAAAAAAAAAAAAGACTTAAAATAATTCTACTTTGTGCCGAAAGAAGGATTGCTGACTTTTGAAGGTGCTTTTTGAGTCTTTAACAGTCTTTACTAATGTATTCCCCAAAGTTAAAAAATTCTATTTAGATTTTAAAAAATAGTTCTTTAACATTGAAAAAACAGTTTTTTTGAGGTATAATACACATACCATAAAATTTACCCAATTTAAGTACATCGTTTGATCAGTTTTAGTAAATTTATATAGTTGCACAGCTGTCATCAGAGGCTACTTTTAGAACATGTCCGTCATTCCAACAGGGTTCCTTGTGTCAGTGGAATTGCTGGGTTGTATTGTTTAAGTATTTGTTTAAAAAAAGAGAAACAAATCTGCCTAACTTCTGCAGACTATGTACCAGTTAACATTTCCATGAACAATGCATGAGGGTTGTGGTTTTTCCCCATCCCTGTCAACACTTGGTTTGTCAGTTTGTTTTTATGTAGCCATTCTAGTGGATGGGTAGTGATGGCATATGGTGGTTTTAATTTGTATATCCTTCATGAATAATGATATTGAAGAATTTGTATATGTTTATTTTCCACGCATATCGCTTTGGTGAAATGTCTCTATACATTTTTGTGCATTTTAAAAACAAGATCATTAACCAAAACAACAAGTAAGTATTCTCTTTTATTTTGAGGATTAATTTTTGTTGTTATGAAATATACACCTAATATACCCGTAAAAGAGTGGTTAAAATGTTGTATGTATGCTTTAAAGGATAATATAGTGGAAACTTGTGTTGCTACTGCGCAGGTTAGGAAATGGGTCATTAATAACTTTGAAACCTCCTAAATGCCTCTCTCCTGCGTTTTCCTTCCTCCACATCAGATGTAGTGTTTCTTCAATTTTCTATTAATGTTTTGTATTTTTATAGTTTTACCATATATATTTTATATATATCCTTAAACAATATATTAGTTTTAAAAATTTGTTATTAACCTTCAGTTTATTCATTTTTTCAACACTGTGTAGTATCCTATTGTAGTAAAGTATGTCAGTTAACTTATCCATTCCTCTAGATGGAGATTGGGATTATTTCTGGTTTTTAGTTATTAAAAACAATGCTGCTGCTGGGTGCGGTGGCTGACACCTGTAATCCCAGCACTTTGGGAGGCCAAGGCAGTGGATCACGAGGTCAAGAGATGGAGACCATCCTGGCCAACTTGGTGAAACCCCGTCTCTACTAAAGATACAAGAATTAGCTGGATATGGTGGTGCGCGTCTGTAGTCCCTGCTACTCGGGAGGCTGAGGCAGGAGAATTGCTTGAACCCAGGAGGCGGAGGTTGCAGTGAGCTGAGATCGTGCTGCTGCACTTCAGCTTTGCAGAGCGAGACTTCGTCTCGGAAAAAAAAAAAAAAAAAAAAAAAAGCTGTTAAAAATAGGGCCAGGACTAAGGAAAGGTAAGTGAGGTGCTTAGGGTTCACATTTTATGGAGTAAGTACCCCCTCAAGGTTTGTACCCTGGGTACCTCACAGGCCTCACTTTCGTCCTAGCCCTGAGCATTATTATGTAGGTCTTCTGATGTAATATCTAAGTTTCTCTAAGGTATACCTAGAAATAGATTGCTAGGTAATAGAGTATTACTTACAGGAAACTATATGGTGGTTGTAACAATTTATGCTTCTACCATCAGTCATTATGGTGGATATGAAATTATGTCTTAATGTGATAATTTACATTGCCCTGTTTTTTGTTTTTTTGAGACAGAGTCTTGCTGTATCACCCAGGCTGGAGTGCAGTGGTGTGATCTTGGCTCACTGCAACCTCTGCCTCCTGGGCTCAAGTTATCCTTCCATCTCAGCCTCCCGAGTAGCTGGGACCACAGGTGCAGGCCATGCTTGGCTAATTTTTGTATATTTTGTAGAGACAGAGTTTTGCCATGTTGCCCAGGCTGGTCTTAAAGTCCTGAACTCAACAGCCTGCCTTGGCATACCGAAGTGCTGGGATTACAGGCGTGAGCCACCACACCTGGCTGTTTGTTTTGAGCCTGTTCCTCAGGCTGGAGTGCAGTGGTTCGATCATGGCTTGCTGCAACTTGGCCTCCTGGGCTTAAGAGATCCTCCCACGTCAGCCTCCTGAGTAGCTAGGACTACGGGCACGTGCCACTATGCCTGACTAATTCCTAAAGTTTTTTTAATAGAGGCAGGGTCTCGCTATTTTGCCCAGGCTGGTGTCAAATTTCTAGGCTCATGTGATCCTCCTGCCTCAGCCTCCCAAAGTGCTGGAATTATAGGCCTGAGCCACCACACCTGGCTGATCTGTCTTAAACTAGAGAATTTCATTTTTTTCTACCTCGTTTCTTGCTTTTTTTTTTTTTTTAAAAAAAACTGAATTTCCATCTGTTCCCCCTCCCTTTCTGCTCCTCTTCATTCCTTGGAGGTTATACTTTGCCTTCCTTTAATGAGTACCAAAGAAATTAAAAAATACGTGTTTACTGTAAGTCCAAGCTTAAATGTTGCTAACACAGGGACTATCAAATGCTTTACTACCATCTATTGCCATCTGCAAATGTATGCCATTGTTGTTTAGTTTTGTAATTCCTAATGTATTTTAATTAAACACCACAAATTATGCTTTTTTTTTTGTTTTATTCAGTCAGTAGATGCTTAGAATACTGACTTATCTTACCAATTCCTTTGCTCATTCAACTCCTTCATCCTAGGATTATTTTTCTTTTTCCTAATATATTTTCATTAAAAGTTTATTTGGTGAGAATCTAAAAACTCTCAAATTCTGAAAGTTTTAAAAATTTGCCTTTGTTGTTGAAAATTAGTTTTGGTGGACGTGAGAATCTAGATCAGGTGTTGACAAACTTTTTTTTTGTAAAGAGCCAGATAGTAAATATTGTGGGCTTTGTGGGCCATGTAGTCTCTGTGATAACTACTCAACAATGGTGTTGTAGGACAAAAGCGACCATAGACATTCTATAAACATGAGTGTGGGTATGTTCCAACAAAATTTTGTTTATAGACACTGAAATTTGACTCAGAATTTTCATGTGTTAAAATATTTTTTGAATTTTTCCAACCATTTAAAAATGTAAAAATCATTCTTAGCTTGTGGACCAAATAAAAAACAGGATGGATTTGACCTGTGGGCCATACTTAGCTGACCTCTGGTCTAAATTAACATCCATTTTACTTAGTACCTGACACTGGAGTAATTCTGATGATGATGTCTTCTTGTGATATTGTCTTTCATTTTTAATTGTTGAAGAGCTAACTGTCAGTCTGTCTTTTTTGTTTTTCTTTTCCTCTTTTTTTTTTTTTTTGAAATGGAGATTTGCTCTTATCACCCAGGCTGAGTGCAGTGGCGTGATCTTGGCCCACTGCAGCCTCTGTCTCCTGGGTTCAAGTGATTTTCCTGCCTTAGCCTCCCAAGTAGCTGGGATTACAGGTGCCTGCCACCATACTCAGATAATTTTTGTACTTTTGGTAGAGATGGGGTTTCACCATATTGACCAGGCTGGTGTTGAACTCCTGACCTCAGGTGATCCACCTGCCTCGGCCTCCCAAAGTGCTGCGGTTACAGGTGCGAGGCACGGCATCTGGCCTTTCTTTATTATTTTTTTTTAAGACAGTCTCCCTCTGTCCCTCAGACTTGGGGGCAATGGCATGATCTTGGCTCACTGTAACCTCTGCCTCCCAAGTTCAAGCCATTCTCCTGCCTCAGCTTTCCAAGTAGCTGGGACTATAGGCACATGCCACCATGCCTGGCTAATTTTTGTATTTTTAGTAGAGATGGGGTTTCACCATGTTGGCCAGGCTGGTCTTGAACTCCTGACCTCAGGTGATCCTCTCCCCTCGGCCTCCCAAATAACTGTCCTTTCTTTGTTGGTAATCTGGTGATATATTTTATTGTTTGGCTGCTTTTAAGAGCTGCTTCTTGTCTCTGGTGCTGTTCATTATGATGTATCTAAGTATGTATTTATTTTCATTTAACCTGGTCAGGATTTGTTGAGTATCCAGAAACTAAGGATTGGTGTTTCTCATTACATCTGGAAAAATTTCAGCCATTATTTTTGCTTATATTGTGGTATGTCATAGGAAGATGATAAAAGAAAAATTAATTTGATGGTTTTCTACGAGGTTATAGTGTAAAATAACTATCTCCGTTTTAGAATTGAGTGCTAGACAGTTTCTGTGTAGATGACCTCATAAGCTTCCTTTTATCAAACAGTGATCACGTTTTTGATTTGGCTGCTGAGAAGTATGGCATCAAGTGTAATACTAATATGAGGTGTTTAAGAACTTAGTATATTTCTTATGTACATTTTACTATATACTATAATTATACATTAAAAATACACATTGTAAATATAAATATGCATAATACATTGTTAATTGTTTGGATACCAAAAGTATGACTTGACATTTGTTTTTAAAACCATATTCAAAATAACTCTTTGTATCAGAATGTGGATTTAACGGATTAAATTGCATAATTGGTGAGCTACTGATTATTCTTGTTATTTGGATGCTTCTTTAAGTTAGCAACTTTATATTGTGGTCCTTCAATATAGACTACTTATTTCATTTCAGAGAACTCAATTTCCTGCATCTACTGAGTCTCAAAAACCCCAGCAGAAAAAAGGTCTGTATGCAATTTCATTGTATGTGTATATTTGCACAGGTTTCTCTCTCTCTCTCTCTTTTTTTGGAGACAGAGTCTCACCGTCGCCCAGGCTGGAGTGCAGTGGCATAGTCTTGACTCACTACAACCTTTGCCTCTGGGGCTCAAGCAGTTCTCCTGCCTCAGCCTCTCGAGTAGCTGGGATTACAGGCATACACCACCACACCTGGCTAACTTTTGTGTTTTAGTAGAGATGAGGTTTCACCGTGTTTGCCAGGCCGGTCTTGAACTCCTGACCTCAGGTAATCCACCCACCTCGGCTCCCAAAGCGTTGGGATTACAGATGTGAGCCACCGCGCCCGGCCAGGTTTCTCTCTCTTGTTGATTCTCTTTTCTATTCTATATGATTTCAAAATGAGTGTTGGGAAAAGAAGTAATAGTCTAAATGTTCTGTCACATCTAGCTTTTATTTAATAGAGTTATTAGATATTAGGAGGTTGGTTTGACTTGGAAATTATTTAAATGGGGTTTGATTATTAAGTAAGTGTGTACTAATTTTCTGCTTCTGGAAAAACCACTCTGTGAAGTTCCAGATATCTTTTTGCTTTATCGGTTTCTAGTTTAATTTTATTGTGGATAGAGAACATTCTTTATATGGTTTGTTTTATGGCCCACAGCGTGGCCTTTGTTGGTGAATGTTCCACGTGCACTTGGAAAGAATATGTATTCTGCTCTTGTTGGAGGTAGCATTCTGTAAATGTCATTAGGTCAAGGTGGTTGATAGTGTTCTGTATACGCTTACAGATATTCATATTCCTACTGATGTAGTTACTGATTGGAAGGGTGATAGAAGAGTGTTGAAGTGTGCAAATGTACTTGTGGATTTGTTTCTACTTTCAGTTCTATCAATTTTTGATTTGTGTATTTTGAAGATCTGTTGTTGGATGCATATACATTTAGGATTGTCTGATTTCTTGGTAAATTGACGCGTTTGTCATTATGTAATATTCCTCTTCAATTTCTGATAATATTCCTTGTTTGAAGTCTACTTTGATAATATTTTAGTTTTAGTTATTTATTTAGCTATTTTAGTTTTGTTGTGGCCAGTCTTTGAATGGTATCAACGTATAATTTTCGTAGAGTAAAATTCCCTTTTTTTAGTACAAATTCTGAGTTTTGACAAATGAAACTAGCCATGTTATCACTATTGGCACCATAATCAAGTTATAAAAGTTTAATTACTCCCCCAAAATTCACCTTTACTTTGTAGTAAACCACTTCTTCCATTCCCAATTGCTGGGAGCCATTAATCTGTTTCTTTCTTCCTAGTTTTGCCTTTCTCAGAATGCCAAATAAATGGACTCATACATGATTATTTTGAGAGAGAGGGTCTTGCTCTGTCACCCAAGCTAGAGTACAGTGGTGTGATTATAGCTCACTGCAGCCTCAAACTCCTGGGTTCAAGCGGTCTTCCCTGGTACCTGGGTCTATAGGTGCATGCCACCATGCCTGGCTAATTTTTAAATTTTTTTTTTCTAGAAACACGGGGGCCTGGCTCTGTTGCCCAGGCTGGTTTTGAACTCCTGGCTTCAAGTGATAGTGCATCTTCCGCCTCCTGAGGTACTGGAATTACAGGCATGAGCTATTGCACCTGGGTTATGTAAACTTTTCAGTGGCTTTTTAAACCTCATACAATGTTTGTTTGTTTGTTTTTGAGACGGAGACTTGCTGTGTCGCCCAGGCTGGAGTGCGGTGGTGCGATCTCGGCTCACTGCAACCTCTACCTCCTGAGTTCAAGCGATTCTACTGTCTCAGCCTCCCAAGTAGCTGGAATTCCAAGCGTGCACCACCATGTCTGGCTCATTTTTTAATTTGTAGTATAGATGGGGTTTCACCATGTTGGCCAGGCTGGTCTTGAACTCCTGACCTCAAGTGATCCACCTGCTTTGGCCCCCCAAAGTACTGGGATTACAGGCATAAGCCACTGCATCCAGCACAATATAGGGAAGTATTACAAAAACAGGAGAAATGTCATCCTTAAGGATTAATGGACTTTAATTAACAAATTAAAAATCAAAGTAGTACTTTGAATAAAAAGCTGTCACATTTTACTGTGAAATCCTTAGACTTTTTTTAAACCTCTAGTTCAGGTTTTTTCAGCTTTGGCATGAATGATATTTTGAGCAAGATCAATCTTTGTTGGGAGAGTTGTCCTGTATATTGTAGGATGGTTAAAAACATCCCTGGCTTCTACCTAGTAGATGACAGTAGCAGTTAATTGTGACAACCAAAAGTGTCTCCAGATGTTGCCAGTTATTCCTTCTGGGGCAAAATTGTTTCCACTTGAGAACCACTGCTCTGGTTGAGTAGTATAATACTTGGAAATAGAAGGCAGGAAGTTGGTAAGTGTGTAAAGAATTCACACAGCAGTTGGGTTAGCAAGCTGAGAGACTTGATTTGAATGAGTAGCAACTGGAGGCATTTCGACTGAGAATGGATGTTGTCCCTCCCCCTCCCCCTTTCCTCCTCAGCTTGAGAGGTCCATATCCTAGTTTGACTCTTTAGTTTTGAGGGTGATGACTGCCAACTGTGGAAGGGGTAAACAGATTTCTATTTGGTATTTTTGTCCAAATATATCAGGACTTTTTCAAGAACAGGCAGTGAAATTGTTGATCAGAATGACTTGATGGTTCTGAGAAAATAATATCCTACATGAGGCTACTGAAGTCCTCTTCCTTTTGCCCCATGATGTGACCTTAGGTGACTTCTGGCTTTCAGTTGAAGATCTTAGCAGTCACTGAGGTGAGTGAACTGACTTACTGCTTAAGTCTATTTCCTTCCTTAAAGGAGTCTTCATTGAAAACTTGACCCATTTTGGGGTGGCCATAGCTGAGGATGAGTTTTGTCAACAACCTGAGCCGATATACTCACTATGTGAGAAGCTTGATCTCAGTTTGATATCTGGTTTTAGAGTAATTTTTAATAGAATAATTTATTATGGTAAAATATACATGAAATTTACCATTTTTAAGTGTGTAAGTCAGTGGCATTAAGTACATTTACAAAGTTATGCAACCATCACCACTGTCCATTTCTAGAGTGTTTCATCATTCCAAAGAGAAGCACTGTACCCAGTAAGCAATAAATCTCCACATCCTCTTGCCTCCCCAGATCCTGGTAATCTCCATTCTATTTTCTGTATCTATGAATTTGACTATTCTAGGTTTTTCATATAAGATGAATCAGACCATATTTGCCCTTTTCTGTCTCGCTTATTTGACTCAGCATTTTCAGGGTTCATTCATGTTGTAGCATGTATCAGAATTTCATTCCTTTTTAAGGCTGAATAATATTCTAGTGTATGTATATATCCCATTTTGTTTATCTGTCTGTTGATGGGCATTTGGGTAAGTCTTTATATGTCAGTAATTGCTAATGAATTTAAAGGTTATAGAAAGTAGGAACTTTGTAGATGTTCTAGAAATATGTCATTTCCTGTACTGTATATAATAATGTATTCTACAGACTAATTACTGTGTATATATTTGGTTCTCATAAGTGATTTTGTAGATGCTATACATGCTCTTGAGTTCATTAATCTTTTCCTTTTGCTAATTTTGGTCCTTGTGTATACAGAATTGTAGAGTTACAAGGTAATTTAGTTGTTATCTAATTTACCCTGAAGTCTACCTGAAACCACTGTCACAGAGTCTTTGATAAGTAGTTACCGAATCTCACTATTTCTACTGTGATAGTGAATGACTTTCATTGATTAGCTTTCTGAAAGAATAGTTTATCTTACTTGTCTTGGTATCCTCACCTCTGAGTCTATTTGTCTATTGTAATCTGGCTTTTGCTCTACCACTCCACTGATTAAATTGATGAGCTAAGCATTTTTTTTTTTTCTCACTGCAACCTCTGCCTCCCGGGTTCAAGTGATTCTCTTGCCTCAGCTTCCCGAGTAGCTGGTATTACAGGCGCTCACCACCACACCTGGCTAATTTTTTGTATTTTCAGTAGAGACGGCGTCTCACTGTGTTGGTCAGACTGGCCTTGAACTCCTGAACTCATGATCCACTCGCCTCGGCCTCCCAAAGTGCTGGGATTACAGGTGTGAGCCACCGCGCCTAGCCCAATTCTGTTTAATTTTTGAGGAACAATGTTAACTTCTAATTTAAATGGAAGGTAGCATATATCTAATTTTTCCCTATTATTTTTAATTTCAATGCTAGTCTATCTTTAAATCTGAAGTACGCACTTGGATTTTGACAGATATGTATACTCATGTACATATTTATATTCCTGTAATCATGAGATCAAATGAAACATTTTTATCACCTGGAAAGTTTCCTCATGGCTTTTTCCAGTAAGTCTTCTGCTTCACTTCCCCAGATGCAACCATCATTCTGATTTCTGCCCCTATAAATTGATTTTGAACTGTCCTATAAGTTGTGCTTGAACTTCACACAAAGGGAGCCATACAGTATCTACTGTTTAGCTTTTGGCAACTTTTATACAACATGTTGTTTTGGAGACTCATCCATGTTGTTATATGTATCAGTAGTTCTTTTATTTAAAAATGCTGTCTAATATTCAGTTGCATGCATATACCACTGTTTGTCCATTCTCCTGTTAATGAACATTTGCAGCGTTTCTAGTTTTTGAGTACTGTGAAAGTTCCTATGAGTATTTATTTATTTATTTATTGATGGAGTCTTGCTTTGTTGCCCAGGCTGGAGTGCAGTGGTGCAATCTTAGCTCACTGCAACCTCCGTCTCCTGGGTTCAATCGATTCTTCAGCTTCAACCTCCTGAGTAGCTGCGACTACAGGCGTGTGCCACCATGCCCAGCTAATTTTTGTATTTTTTGTAGAGACGGGGTTTTACTATATTGGCCAGGCTGGTCTCGAATTCCTGACCTCATGATCTGCCCGCCTCGGCCTCCCAAAGTGCTGGGATTACAGGCACGAGCCACCGTGCCCGGCCTGAACATTTATTTACTGGTCTTTTTTTGTATGTGCA